GTGGGTTTTTGGACCAGAAATCGTGTGCATCCCCTGATCTGAGGAAAATGAAGCACTGGGACGCCTGAAAGTTCTCACCACCCAGAAGAAAGGTGCACACACATGGAGATGGATAAAAGGCCTCTTAGCTCTAAATTTCCATAGGGCCTACCTAGATGTTTGGTAGGGCATGATATGTTGTGAAAAAATGATTTGTGGGAGAGCGCTGCTTGCCCGATCCCTCATCTTGTTTGCTCCTGTTTACCTTCCCAAAGCATTTTTCCTGTAAAAATGTCATGATTTATAGTTGGGTGTATTGTGGAGGAGGAATGTCGACACTTAGGTGTTAACCTCTTTCACCACGGAGCCCAAATGCCATTTTGGAAAAGCTCTTGAAAGTGACATTCCAGCAATGGGCAGGGCTGAACGCCCAAGGAGTAGGGCCAAATGCCCCGAATACCTGCATATCTAGCTTAACCTTCTCTTCCAAGTCACTAAGCCTTAGAAGAGGCATTTCAATGCTCAGAATGGGAAAAAGAACAGCACCAAGCCAGGAAACCTCAACATGATTGGTGGCTGTGTGTGTGTGTGTGTGGGGGGGAGGAATCATCACCCCTGGGGGAGTCCCAAGTGGGCCCACAGGCAGGCCAGTTTGAACTCCTGGGCTTGAGGCTATTCCACCATTTTCTTACAAAGAACTCAAAGAGGTTTACCTAATTCTCCTTCTGCTGCTCTCAATCTTATCCCCACAACCCCACACCTGTGAGGTGGGTTGGGCTGAGAGTCTGTGACTGGCCCAAAGTCACCCAGTTGGCTTCATGGCTGACTAGAACCCAGATCACGTGAGTCCCAGTCCCACACTCTTAATCACTACACCACACTAGCTCTCCCAAGGATTTGCACTCCTGTACCAGGATTAAGCATGGTCCTTCCTGCACCACAGGCAAAACAGTGATATGGCTCCTAAATCTGCAACTGAGCGACACAAAAGTCTTTCCAACTCTGAGGTTCTAGATAGACTCTGGACAGGAGATCTGAACTGGAGATTTTACTCTCTACCTGGCAGCTGCTTGCAAAAACAATCATGCCAACTACATTTCTTTGGTCATAAACCTTATTTATTTCCATATACATGAATGGAGAGTGTGTGTGTGTGTGTGTGTGTGTGTGTGTGTGTGTGTGTGCACCATAATTTTCCGTATATAAGACGGTACTTTTTCTTTCAATCATTTACATAAAAATGGAGGTGCGTCTTATACACAGGGGGCTAATAGGAGAACTGCTGGTGGACGGGGCGCAAGGCAGTGTGCGTGGGGGGGGTGAGGCGGCAGGCATGCGCACGTTAGCAGCTTGCTCACTCGGAGATCAGTAGGAAAAGTGGGGGGCATCCTATACATGGGGGCATCTTATAGATCTTATGAGAGCCAGTGTGGTGTAGTGGTGAAGAGCATGGGACTGGGACTCAGACGATCTGGGTTCGAGTCCCCGCTCGGCCATGGAGCCAACTGGGTGACTTTGGGCCAGTCACAGACTCTCAGCCCAACCTACCTCACAGTGTTGTTGTTGTGGGGATAAGATGGAAGAGGAGAGATGATGTAAGCTGCCTTGAGCTCTTTGTAGGAAAAAGGCAGGATATAAATAAAAATAGTAAAATAAATAAATAAATAGACGGAAAAATACAGTATATACACATATACACACACACACATATACATACGATGGTACCTCGGCTCACAAACACCTCAGTTCACGACCAAATCGGGTCATGAACAAAAATTTCATTAAAATTTTGAATCAGGTCGCGAATTCCGCATTGGGTAGCAACCACAATCATGGCCATCTCCTCACCTGCCCGAGTGGGGAGATGCCCGCAATCGTGCTGGGGGCGGGGGGAAGATGGCCGAGATCGTGCCCGTCTTTCCTGTAGGAGGGCGCCTGTGATTGCACCTGTTTTTCCTGCATGAGCGCAACCGCGATCTCGGCCATCTTCCCCCCCAGCACAATTGCGCGCCCGCGTTCATGCCCGTCTCTTCCTACCAGCGCGCCAGGATGACGGGCACAATTGCGGTCATGCTGCGGGGGAGGGAGATAGCCGGGCTCATGCTTGGCAAGAGGGAGATGGCCACCATCTTTGTTGTTCTTTGTCACTTTGCTTCTTCACGTTTTTCTGATTTAAAAAAAAAGTTACAGAATGGATTAACCTCATTTACATTGAACCTTATGGGGAAATTTAACTTGGCTCATGACCAATTTGAGTCAGGACCAGAGCCCTGGAACGGATTAAGTTCGTGAGCCAAGGTAGCACTGTATAATAAATAAATAAATATTTATTTATTTATTTATTTATTTCATAAAACTTTCCTTGGAAAAGGTAAAATGCACAGGAAGGAGAGATGGGGGACTCCAGCCTCCTTGTTCTCCACCTGAATCCTTGCAGCTAGATGGGCAAATTCAACCATCTAACTGAATTACAAAAGCATGAAGCAATGTCAGCAGCCTCCATCCTTCTCCCACCCTGCATAGGAAGGACATAATCTTCTGAGTTCAGAGGCTTATGGGAATTTCTATAACTTCACCCTTAGCACCCTTATGAACTGCAACTGTAGCCCTTCAAGTACCTCTCTTTATCCCCATTTTGCAGTTCTATAATCATAAGGAGGGCTCTGAGTCTGAGGTCAGAACAAAATATATGAGTCAGCCCTCCCATCCAGCATCCAAAAGTTTCATTGGAACCTGCTTTCTAAGATGCAGGAAAACACTGCAGTTGCTGCTTGTTATGTATGGGCCTTATAACCTTCTATGCAGGCTCTAAAGAGCGAAGATTAGGAAACTAACCTCGGCTGGCTGGAAGGTAAAGACCTTGGCACAAGCAGTAAATGACCACATCACCTTGGCAACACAATGAGATTTCACCAAACATTCCTGCAGCAACATGGGAATTGTGAGCTGGTGTGGTGTAGTGGTCAAGAGTGTGGGAGTTGGACTTAGGTGACCTGGGTTCTAGTCCCTGCTCAGCCATGGAGCTGACTGGGTGACTTTGGGCCAGCCACAGACAGACACCCCAACCTACCTCACAGGGTTGTTGTGGGGATAAGATTTAGAGTAGGAGGAGGAGAAGGATGCAAGCCCCTCTGAGTCCTTTAAAAAAGAAAATGGTGGGCTATAAATATAATAAATAAATGAGATCCAAAAATGTGGAAATTAGAAAACAAGTGTTTCCTCTTGCTTTGAGAAAGACCTGTGTGCAAACGGCCTCTCAAAAATTTTCGCCTTATTTGTGAGGCAGAGAAATAGCATGGACAGCGTGAGAAATTTCTTCAACAATTCCTCCCAGGTAGGCCTCACCCTGGGCCAGGCTTTTAGCACAGCTTGTTTCCTGTGTTTTGCATTGCCACCACCAGTGGCAACATCATCAACTGCATCGGATTGTCCCAGGGCAATGCAGTGGTGAGGAAGAGAGGGAGGGGAATGCAGCCACCAGAAGAAAGAATGGAGGAGACATTTTGGAGAAAATTCTCCAAGTAGCCATTTTGTTTTAGGGGAGGGTGGGGTGCCTGTAACTCAGGTGATAGAAATACCACTCCCCACCCCCACCCCCCGCAAACCCTATAACAGGTGTGAAAAGGGCCATGCCTGTACAGACCAGCTAAGAGGTGAGTTGTAGTGTGCTGTATCCAAGCTCTCCTCTAATTTCCTGAAAGTTTTATTTCCCAAGAAAGAGGCCTCCATTTTTTTCTGCCTTGTTTTGAGGACAGGTTTTGATTCATTTTGAATTTCTATTTGAATCATAGAAGAGTTGGAAGGGGCCATGAAAGCCATCGAGTCCAACTCCCTGCTGTTGCAGGACACCAATTTACACCATTAATCAAGTAGGTTTTATCTTACTTGATCAGAGCAGCGGCTGAAAGTGCCCCCCCCATTACATAGCTCTCAATTGCCCTGTAATCTCGCCCCCACTCTGTGTCATTACCTCAAGCAGGCCATTGGCTGCTCCAGCAATGATGAAAGAGAGGACAAATGTGCTCACCTCATAGGTAAGGTGTGCACAAGGGGCTGGAAGCAAGTTCATAACAATTTTTTTTTCATTCATAACCATTTCTCTGAAATTCTTCTCCTTGGAATTTTTCTCCCAGAACAGCTTCTTTTCTGCCGGTGGAATGAGAATGGTCAAAAGATATGTAGGAGAATTTTTTGCCACAGCATTAGTTTTCGGAAGATTTGGGGCAGGATGTGAATTAACTGATTTATTTTGAGATGCTCTGGATGAGAAATTAATTGGGTGGCTTTGCATACTGTGAAATTTAAATTTTTTCTGAGTGTGCATTTTTGCATTGCCATGAACTGTCCAGAGAGCTTTAGCCATTGAGGTGGTAGCGAAAGGAAATAAATAGGTATCAATTACCATATGCCATTTGTGCCCTATGGACTTGAAATCCGAAACTTTCAGGTGCTTAGCAATACTGAGTTGCAGTTTATAGAAAGCAGTGGCTCTTCTTACAGCATAGTCTGCCCTTTGATCGCTCTCTAGTCCTTAGAGTTGGCTTTCGTCCCGTCCCCCCCCCCCACTCCCCGCCATGTATATCTGAGACGTCCCTATACATTTTCCTTCTTCAAATAAACATCCGACAGGTCCTGCAAACAGCCTTTTTCTTGCCCAGAGCAAAGGCGCGAATGCAACCCCTACCCACGGAATGGCTTGCCACCCTTTGAACCGTTGCTGCCAGCCTGCTTCTTTGCTATTGTTCGTGCAACAGCACTTTTCGCCTCCGCCTGCGGACCTTGGGAGCAAGCGCCACCGAGTACGGCAGGACTTACGGCTGCAGAAAGGCACGTAGGCCTGTGTTGGCTCTGAGGCTCTCGCTCCCTCCCCCTTTCAGACTAGTAGCCGGGTGATTTACAGAAACTGCAGCAACAGGAGCAACCTCGAGCTGCGGGTTCATGTATCAGTTAAAGAAAAGCCAGAGGCACGCATGCAGCTGCTGCTACGGGAGATCGAGCGGGGGAAGCGACTTCCTATCCCCTCCCTTGGCAGGACTCACGCGAAGTGTGAGACGGAAGGCGTTTAAGTTTCGGTTTCTTGCAAAGGGAGCGCACTGTCACTGAAATTGGGGATAATTCCGGGAATTTGTTAATAGCAGTGGCGGGTCAGTAGAGGGCACTAGAGTTGAAAACAAGGAGAGCTCAGTAGAAGCGGCAAACAGCCCAAGGAGAGGGAATTTCCTGGAAGGCGAGGCTGTGAAGGGAAACGCACATTCTTCTGTTTGGCAAAAGAGAGTGGGAGAGGAGAGCAGATCGGTATGCTGGGGTCAAAGTGAGCCGAGGACGGCTTTGAACCCCTTGCCAGTTTGTATGCGTCCGCGTGACGAGCCTGCTAAAAATTACACAGAGCTAATAGGAAAAAAGGGTAATTGAAAATTTGATTCAGTTCATGTAAGACCCAAATATTGTTATCTCTTGTATTTTAATTTGGGTTGTGAGCTGCCCCGAGGCTTTGGCGAATGGGGCGGCATAGAAATGTTTTAATAAAATAAATAAAAGAATCAAGGTGTTCTGTTCCACTGTGGGTATTTGATTAGCATAGCAATGATTGGGAGATTGCATAATACCTAATTACTAATGCTATCAATGGTCAATAGATTTACCTTCTATGCATTTGAGTTTAGGACATTATCTTGCATTACATGGACTGATGGCCCAACTTACTTGTATTTGCTTTCTTTTTACTATTCTCATTCTTTCTGCATCTTTTACTGCTTTGTTTTAGCATTTCTATATAGTCTCTTAAATATATAACCTCTTAAAGCAGTTTACAAAATGTAAAAAAAGATCGCCTATCAATAAAGATTCACACAATAGAACCAATATATCAGAGGAGCATTTAAAAGCTATAGTCATTACCAAATAATCTGAAACAAACTGGGGACTTAAAAAGCATTAACATTACACTAAAGTAAAGACAGAGATGGAACCAGTTAAGCATCTGTGAGAGGTGTGTTTCAGGAGATGAGGGAAGGGGCCTTGTAGAAGGTTGCACCTTAGATGATGCAGGGTTGGTCTGGCCCAGCTCCTGCCACCACCAGTTGTACAGAAGCCAGTCAGACAGACATTTGACTTTTATTCCAATGCTAGTGCCAGGATCAGTGCCCTCCACACACATGAAGGCAGGAGACTAGCTTAGGGTATACAGCAGGGCAGCTCATGTCCAGCACCTCACTGTTTCTCTCCATTGCTCCACCTGGGCCTGCTTTCTGCAAGCTGAACCTAATGTTGCAGTGCAGCTACAGTGGTACCTGTGCACCTCTGTAAGGCCACGCAGATGCAGGGACTGCTGGAGTGCCTGGCCAGGATGGCTCCTGCTCACTTGGTAAGGAGCTTCTTCCAGTGGTACTGTTGGGGGGGGGGGGGAGGCAGCTGGGCAAAGACTAACACCCCAAGGGTGTTAGTCTTTGGAAGTTTACACCACAATAAAATGGTTAGCCTTTAAGGTGCCACAAGAATTCTTTTAGGTTAGTTAGTCTTTAGGCTTGTTTGTTTTGCTGTTGCAAATTTAACAAGCTACTTCTCTGGAAAGTTTGAGTTGTTAAATTCACAATTCTATGCAAATTCAGACAGAAAATAGGCCTACAGTTCAAAGTATGTCCAAGTTAGCTATGCTGTATTTTTTCTGTATAGGATTGTACTCAGTGGAGCTTATTTCTGATAAAACATGCATAGGGACGCACCATTAGATGAATAGCACAATTCTATACACGGCTACTCAGTGGAATGCCTCAGCTGAATTCAGTGGACTTACTCCCAGGTATGTGTGCAACTGTGTGGTCTCCTGACACTGTCTGGTCAAGATAAGATTAATCAGGCCATAGTATTATAGAGCCTGCAAACTTAGTGCTAGGACTCTGAAAGCAGGTGGCATGGGCTGCCCACAAGCCTCCAAGTTTAGTCTTACATGCATTTAGGTGCAGAGGGTACCAAATTGTACTTGAATCAATTAAGGTTCTTTGCATGTTTAGACAAAAAGAAGAAGAAACTTTGAGGAGTTGTAGGACTTTTTCTGTTTAAATAGGCACAGGATTGTGTCCTTAATTGTGCCCTGTGTGGCTTAGAACCACAATACCTGATGGAAAACCTCTCCCAGCTGCAGTCTGTCCAGAGAACATGATCACGATCTGGGGCCTGCCTCCAGTTGCCACCCTCAGGGAAGGCTTGCCCAGTGGCAACAAGCGCCTTTTCAGTACCGAAACAATCTCCCTACTGAATCCTGGCACCAACCCTAATATACTTGTGGCACCTCTAGCACAGGGTATGTAATTAGTTTACAGAGGCATTGTTAGCTGCTTGAACAGGACTTATGATTTAATTTGTATATTGTAGCGTTTTAAATTTGGTTCTAAATTTTTGAGTGGTAATTTTTTATGATGTTTTATTATTTGTATTCCATACTGAATTTTATCTGTTGCTGTAAATATCCCGGAGAGCGTCAGCTATAGGGCAGTATATGAATTAATCCATTAATTAATATTAGTGGATATTTACATAGATCTAAAGCTATATTTCTGAGCCAAGAGGCATTTTTTTAAAGATAACATTTTTAAAGATTACAGCAGGCCTCATCTTACCAGAGTCATTCTGACCTATGTGAAAGATAAGGAATCTTCTTTGAAGGTGCTGTCCTCAGTTTCTTTATGTAACTGCATTTTTAAAAAAGTTAATATATTTCAAATGATATATAAAATCTGCTCAATTAATTGGGTGCAACTTTTTCTCATATTGAAATGATACTAACCTGCAACCTGAATTGTGACTTAAACATTGCTACGGGCACCTTCATTTCATGGTACGCATTTGCTCTTCCAGGCTTGCATGGGTTTTTGGATTGCCAGCACTTCCATTTGTGCTGAATTTCTTGAGTCCTCTGAAGAATCTTGGGGTCCAAGCATGAAGCAACATCCTATAATCCTAAAAAGTTTGCCTTTCAGTCCCTATATCTGAGGGACAGCTGTGGTTAAGCCATGATAAGGAAAAGAAATGCTCTTCAAGTGCACTCTTCACATGCTCTAAGGGTTTGTGCTACAAACAGCCTGAAGCCTTCAAGTCTCCTCAAAGATTTGTTTAGGCATGAAGATGCCCAGGACTGCACCCTAATTCTTTCAACTTCTACTTATGCCCTGAAGTTGCTTCTAGCCTTAGCAATGGCCTTGTGCCTCAACAATCCTGTGATTGTAGTTTATATTTGTGGTGAGTCACTCCTGAAACACAGATCTGGGGGAAAGCTGCTGGAAGTTCCAGATCAAGCCGATGGGAAACCCATGACTTTGGGATGAGGCCTCCTTGAAAAGCACTTGCTTTTCCTTTGCTTGTTTTGATGCATAAGAAACGACCCAACAAATAGCTGTTGAGGTCATTGTTAAAGTATGATCCAAACATAATCATTTTGAGACAAAACAAGGTGAAAGCAAAAAAACCGCACAAGGCAAATGTGCTCACTGAAAAGCTGACTTCCGGGTGGTTTTCAGAGCAAATTAATTTGAAAGGACACCACCTAGAGGATGTTACTGGACTTTATTCTTCGCCTAAATAGAAACTTGCAGAGCTCCTGCCGGTGGTGTCATTCAGAAGCCGGCATGGCATTTTCTCTGTTTTGCAAAGTTAAGCCTTATTGCAGTTCCGCAAGTGTGAGCTCACGAGAGAAAGCACCTAATCTACTTAGTCTGCATTAGTCTTACTATACATCCTGGACCTGGGTGGTGTGGTGCTAGTTGTGTCCTCACTAGCTCAGCCTTTGAAGGGTAGGATGTGTTGGGAAAACCCCAGAGATTGCAAGGAATGGGAAACTCAAATGGGACAGTCCACGAAGCTGCCCAGGGGACTTCGAGTGGATGCCAAGACCTGCTTATAGAATATGTACATAAAGGCTATTTAAATAACAGAAGCAACAACAGAAAACAAGTAACAACATGTATTATGTTTACATTCTTAGTGGTTATATAAATAATACTACGGCTTTTGCACAATTAAATGAAGATGAATAAATAATGTGAATTTTAATGATGTTATTGAATCACTCTGAATTTTCACACGGCTAAAATAATGCTGAAGATAGAAGCCTTTTTTCCCCTTTTGTGTGCTTTTTAGATGATTCATGGAGCTGTTGCTACAGCATTCATCTTAGCAGGGAAGCTGTACTTACTATATTTATATTTTACGTTTCCTTCAGAGAAAGATGTTTGATTAAACCCTCCCCCATGTAGATAGGGAGTAACTGGCCCAAGGTCACCCAGTAAGCTTTGCTGCTGGGCGCAGATTTGAACTTGGTCTGCTTGGATCTAGTCTAGGACTATTACATCATGCTGATGTTTTTACTTTTAGTGATTGGCTGGAGATTTACTCATACTCCAGCCTTCTCCAACCTGGTGCTCTCCAGGAGTTTTGGACTGCATAAGAACATGTAAAAAGCCATGCTGGGTCAGAAAAATTGTCTGTCCTGTTTATGCAGTGGCAAAACAGCTGCTTACAGGTTCCCACCAGCAGGATATGAATACAGTAGCCATTTTGTATTCCCACCCATTTTCCCCAGCAACTGATGTACATAGGCAAAGTGCCTCTGATGTTAATGAGCACATATGGCCATCAGGACTAGCAGCCACTGTTATCTCTCTCTGTGAATGTGCCCAATTCCCTTTTAAAGCTATCCAAATTCTTGGCCATCTAATGGAAGTGAATGCCATCATTTAAGTGCCCTTCCTTTTATGTGCCCTGAATCAACTTCATGGGATCTGGCCCTAGAATTATGAGAGAGGGAAAACGAACATCCCTTTTCCCATTTTCTCCATAGCCTCCACAATTCTAAATGCCTTTGTCAACTCCAGCTAAATTGTGCTATGGTTATTTATTTTATTTATTTATTAAAACATTTTTATGCCGCCCCATTCGCCAAAGCCTCGGGGCGGCTTACAACAAAAATTAAAATAACATTTCACAATATATACAGTAAAATACAAATATATAATATAAAACATACAATATAAAACAAGCTGCCCTGGCCAAATAAAATTCAATAATATTAACATTTAAAATACTGCTTAAATAAAAAGGTCTTCGCCTGGTGCCGAAAAACAAATAACGACAGCGCCAGGCGGACCTCTCTGGGGAGCGCATTCCATAACTTAGGCGCCACCGCTGAGAAAGCCCTCCTCCGAGTAACCACCCTCCTAACTTCTTCCACGGAGGGCTCCCGGAGAAGGGCCTCTCCCGCCGATCTCAGGGGGCGGCTGGGCATATAAGGATGTAAGCGCTCCTTCAGGTAACCAGGACCCAAGCCGTTTAGGGCTTTATAGGTCATAATCAACACCTTGAATTGGGCCCGGGCTTCAACGGGAAGCCAGTGAAGCTGACGGAGAACTGGAGTCATGTGAACATAACGTCCAGTCCCCGTCAGCAGCCTGGCAGCTCTATTTTGGACCAATTGAAGTATCCAGACCGTCTTCAAGGGTAGCCCCACGTAGAGCGCGTTACAGAAGTCCAGATGGGAAGTCACCAACGCATGTGTCACTGTCGCAAGGCAGTCGTTCTCCAGATAGGGGCGCAGCTGATGAATCAGCCGAAGCTGGAGGAAAGCGCTCCTCGCCACTGCTGTTACCTGAGCTTCCAGTGAAAGCTCCGGGTCGAGGAGTACTCCCAAGCTGCGGACCTTGTCCCTAAGAGGGAGTGCAACCCCGTTCAGGACAAGGTCCAATTCACCCTCTCCGAAGTCCGATCCGCCAACCAACAGGACCTCTGTCTTGTCCGGATTGAGCTTCAGTTTATTGGCCCTCATCCAGCCCATTACCTCGGCCAGGCACCGGTTCAGCACAGCCACTGCCTCACCTGGATTGGTGGAAAACGAGAGGTAGAGCTGGGTATCATCAGCGTACTGATGGTTCCGCAGCCCACACCTCCTGATGACCTCTCCTAGCGGTTTCATGTATATGTTGAACAGCAACGGGGACAAAATGGACCCCTGTGGTACTCCATGGCATAGCTGCCATGGCGCAGAGCCATAGTCCCCCAGCACCACCTTCTGGAACCGGCCATTGAGATAGGAGCGGAACCACTGCAAAGCAGTGCCTCCGACCCCCAATCCCGCAAGCCTATCCAGAAGGATACCATGGTCGATGGTATCGTAAGCCGCTGAGAGGTCCAGAAGAACCAACAGGGACGCACTCCCCCTGTCCTTCTCCCTGCACAGGTCATCGTACAGGGCGACCAAGGCAGATTCAGTACCGTACCCGGGTCTGAAGCCGGACTGCAATGGGTCCAGATAATCAGTTTCATCCAAGAGTGCTTGAAGTTGTCCCGCCACCACTCGTTCTAACACCTTGCCCAGAAACGGGATGTTGGCCACTGGTCTATAATTAGTGGCCATCTCTGGATCCAGTGACGCCTTCTTCAGGACCGGTCGGACTACCGCCTCCTTTAAAGGGGCAGGCACCCGACCCTCCCTCAGAGAAGCGTTAACCACTTCCAAGATCCAGGTTCCAATCCCGTGCTTGGAATCATTTATTAACCAAGACAGGCAAGGGTCCAAAAGGCAAGTGGTTGGACGTACTCGCCCAAGCACCTTGTCCACGTCATCGGGCCGCAGTAACTGAAATTCATCCAATAAATCTGGACCAGACGGCAGCGTTGGTGTCTCCTTTGAAACCTCGGAATCAATAGTGGTGTCCAGCTCGTGACGAATCTGAGCAATTTTCTCCCTGAAATGCCTGGCAAAGTCGTCACAGCGGGCCTTTGAGGGTTAAGAATACTAGGGATTGTAATGCAACATTTCTGGAAAGGTTACTTTACCCACTGGGCACATTTTATTATCTGGGCTTTACCCTCACTGAATTGAATGGCGCTTACATCAAAATGGGCAATTATAGGATTGCACTCCCCTTCATGGATCACTGCCTTGTCGTGGTGAAGGGGCTTGCGTAGCTCAATGAAGCTATGAGCTATGCCGTGCAGGGGCACCCAAGACGGACAGGTCATAGCGGAGTGCTCTGACAAAATGTGATCCACTGGAGAAGGAAATGGCAACCCACTCCAGTATCTTTGCCATGAAAACCCCACAGACAGTACCAAAAGGCAAAAAGACATGACGCCGGAAGATGAGCTCCTCAGGTTGGAAGGTGTCCAGTATTCAACTGGGGAAGAGCAGAGGGCTAGTACTAGTAGTGCCAGAAAGGAAGCAACTGGGTCAAAGCCGAAAGGACACTCAATTGCAGATGTATCTGGTGGTGAAAGGAGAGTCCTATGTTATAAAGATCTATACTCCATAGGAACCTGGAATGTAAGATCCATGAATCAAGGCAAGCTGGACGTGGTCAAACAAGAGATGACAAGACTTAATATCAACATCTTAGGAATCAGTGAACTAAAATGGACAGGATTGGGTGAATTTAATTCGGATGACCAGGTATACTACTGCGGGCAAGAATCCCTCAGAAGAAATGGAGTAGCCTTCATAGTCGATAAAAGAGTAGGAAAAGCAGTACTGGGATACAATCTCCAAAATGACAGAATGATCTCAGTTTGAATCCAAGGCAAACCATTCAACATCATGGTCGTCCAAGTCTATGCCCCAACCACTGGTGCTGAAGAGGCTGAAGTTGACCGGTTCTATGAAGGCCCTACAATACCTTCTAGACTTAACACCAAAAAAGTATGTCCTTATCATCATGGGGGATTGGAATGTGAAAGTAGGAAGCCAAAAGATAACCGGAATAACAGGCAAGTTTGGCCTTGGAGTACAAAATGCAGAAGGGCACAGGCTGGTAGAATTTTGTCAAGAGAATATGATGGTCATAGCAAACACTCTTTTCCAACAACTCAAAAGACGACTCTACACATGGACTTCACCAGACGGCCAACACAGAAATCAGATTGACTTTGTGCTCTGCAGCCAAAGATGGAGAAGCTCTATACAGTCAGTAAAAATTAGACCAGGAGCTGACTGTGGCTCAGATCATGAGCTTCTTGTTGCAAAATTTAGGCTTAAATTGAAGAAAGTAGGGAAAAGCACTAGGCCACTCAGGTATGACCTAAATCATATCCCTGATGAATATACAGTAGAGGTGACAAATAGATTTAAGGAATTAGATCTGATAGACAGAGTGCCTGAAAAACTATGGAGGGAGGTTTGCAACATTGTACAAGAGGTAGCAACTAAAACCATCCCAAAGAAAAAGAAATGCAAGAAAGCAAAATGGCTGTCTGAGGAAGCTTTACAAATAGCTGAGGAAAGAAGGGAAGCGAAAGACAAGGGAGAAAGATACACCCAGAGCTAATGTGAATGATGCTGGAAGAACATCAGTCTGCACCTGTTCTACTTAGCTTCTGCTTGCTAGGTAATGGGAAAAGCAGCTGCAAGTTGTGACTTTTTCCTGTTGCCTAGCAAGTGCTAGATACATGGTACAAGTTTTGGTATATGGTAGTTCAGCATCTTTCTCATCAGCACCAAGGCACAGTTGGATATTTCACTCCCCTTCAGAAAATTGCCTTATGCAAAAGATTAGTCTAATGATTGTCAATTGAGTCTGTGTACAGATCATTAAGTGGTGGAGCTATTGACCTATTTGCATGCAACAATGACTAATCCTGGTTGTGCTGGAAAGCCGGCCAGGATTCCCCACTCCCACGGCCAACTGGGCTAAAAATCCTGCCCAGTAACTCCCTGGTCCCAGAGCCCCAGACCAGATGCTGGATTCAGCACATGACAACCCAAGTGTCGGGGGAAAATAATGGTTTATTAAAAGGATAAAAGATAGGGGTGAAGGGTTCTAAAACAGCTAAAAGGGGCACATGAGGAATAAAAGGGAAGGGTAAGAAAGGGGATTGGGAGAACACCAACAATGTAAATTACAGCCAACCAAAGCCCCCTAACTCCCAGGCCCTGTTGGCCTCCTTGGATGCAAAGTAACAATGCTCAGCCTAGCCGTAGCTACACACACGGGCACAGGCAGCGCAGGGGAGCACGGAGTTTGGCAACGAGAGCAGAACCTCTC